TTATATTATTTTTCTTGTCTGTCTCTTGATTAATTGGTAATCATTGCTAATTAATTGCTATATATTCTTCTTATATATATTTTCTTTAATTTAAATGTTCTTAATTGATTTGGTGATCAAAAGTGTAATTTTTGGTGATCAAAACACACTTTCCTCCTTCCTCTCTTCTTTCATGTCTTCAATCGATCATCAATCCAAATCGAAGTGAAACTTCTTTTCATACGGTGATTACTTTTAAATAAGAACAGAAACGTTCGACGAGCGTGGTAATTTCTTTATTCTAACCTTATTTTTGAACTTTTTCCAAAAATTCTTTCACCAACGCGTACCTGAGAGTTTCAGTGACCGAATGAGAAAAACAACTTTCAGTTAATCGGTTGAAATGAGGGAGATCTTAGCAGTATAATACATTCTGCTTTATATACTAAATGGCTTTAAAATTCTAAATACACCTAAGATAAGATGCAGCTAAGACCTCCCTCATTTCAAATGATAAACTGAAAATTCCTTTTATCATTCGATTACTGAAATTCTCAGCTACCCAATGGTGAAAGAATTTTTGGAAAAAGTTCAAAAATAAGCCGATTTAAAGAAAAAGCTCTTATAAACACAATAATAAATTATGCATTAGGTGCATATTTATTGTTGTCTTCAGAATCATTGTTCACAAGACTCATATTCAACGCTATTCGATATTAGAAAATTTAGAGCGTGTTCAAATCCTTTATTGCCGTATTCTATACCGAGAACATCAGAAGCGGAATAGTTCAATAGTTCAAAGGACGATCACAAACGTTCGAAAGCTGAATAGCCGAAAAAAGAAGTTCAAAAGCTGAAAAGTTGAACAGTTGAAAAACGAATCTGAAAAGTTGAAAACGTGCATAGTTCAAAAGAGAATGACATCATGGAGAAAATGCATTTCCTGCAAGTTCAGTTCCTAAAAATCCTGCATATCCTAGTGACTGAGCAGGTATAAATATACTAGGATATTTAGGATATTCAGCAAAGGACTTGCGAGCTTGCAAACCTAAATGTCCTCGATATTATACATATCGAGAGATTGCAGAGTTCAATAGCTGAGTAGTTGAAAAGAGAATACCAAAAGTTGAATAGTTGAAAAGAGATCGTCAAAAGTTGAAAAGGTAAAAATTTATAGGCGGTCAGAAGGTCCATTCTTCAATTTTTTTAAGCTCTTCGGTGCGGATAATAATATATAAAGAAAGTTTTCTTACACATAAATATTCCGAGCATTTCGGTTGAGTTTTTCTATGCCAGATGGTTATGAGAAAATGTTTCCCAACATTTTGTACGAAATGTGGTATATTAGCTTTTAACAAATTTGTAAGCAAAGTCGACCAATGTTTATCCTCTTTATTCATTATCTACATTTACAGCTGTTATTTTTCCCATTCTACGATGAATCGAAATAAAATGCGTGTTGTTCTTTTACTAATTAACTGAAACAAAGGCGATAAAACGCAAAACATGAAAATTATTGCTAGTTTTTGTAAGTGTTAACTTCATTTTAAGTCCTTTAAACAGCCCCCTTTGTTATTCTTCAGTATTTATATTGTTCCTGCACTACGGTAATAAAAATGTTGTACATTCATCATCATTCTGGGAACAACTGACTGCGCAACCAATATCCTTATTCTGGGAACAAGTACTGAATCCTCCAGAATCAATACGCAAAGAAATGGAATCAATTGAACGTACAATGAAATTATTAAACACGAATTTGACGTGTAGGTCACAAAATGATTGTTTTGCTGAGGCTTCCAGTATGAGCTTCTGTAGTACTCATGTCATCATCATTTCTCGTTTGAATGAACATTCACCAGCCATTGAGACATTGGCTAAACGAACTTTTGCATTAGGACAAAAATATGCGCAATTAAGTGGATCACTAATGGCCTGTGTTGGTAGTCCTACGCTTCCGAGAGGAAAGTGCGATATGACAAATAATCAATGTGTTGCAGGATCGGATGAAGGTATATCGCTTGAAACATTAGGATAATGAATACTTGTTGGAAACCTCTTAAATTTGCTATTTCAATAGATAAATGGCAGAATAAACAATAAATGCAGTTCACAAATACAGTTCTGATAATTTGTCACTGAGGGTCAAAGATAATAAGCAGCAATTGTACTATCAACTTAATCAGATCGTTTTTGAATGAAAAATAAAAGATTATTGTAAAAAATCATGTTATTAGTTAAGATGTTGTATATAGCGTTTCCATACTATTAACTGTGAAGATAGCATCACTTACGAAAGAACGTTCCGAAGTGGCACCCTCCGTTTTCCTTCGTTCATATGCCATTCGATAGAGTATATGGAAGTATGAAAAAACCTAAAAGGATTAGTGCCCCTTTAGCTTTCTTCGAAAGTTATAGGCATTTTTCTGAGTTTCCTAGCGGAAAACGCGAAAAAATGAAAAATTCGTAACTCCATCAAATAACCACGAAATCTCTTGAAACTTTCGTACAACATAGGTCTATCTATTTAGGAAGTATACCCAAAGTTTCAGACCTCTACGCTGCTTCATTCAAGATCTTTCTTTTTTCTTCACCTCTGCTTTATTTTCCAACAATACTATATACAAACGAATTTTAAAAAAAGCTTTTTCAACTTGGATAAAATAGAAAAATATGGTAGAAAAAAACATAAACAATCAGACTCAATGAAAATGATAGGCCTGAAAAAACCTTGAAAACATAAAACTTTCGAACAATAGCTGCATTGAATGAACGGTATATTGTTACACTGATTTGTATGGCAGCGATGACTGTTGAAACCGAAACAAACCTGACCAATATTTTCGAACGGACCCGGATTATTTTGCAAATATCCTGGCTCGTACCAGTGTACCGGGTCATTGCGTGAAATTTTGGAGAGGAGATCTGGGTATAGGCTAGTGAGTTTAACTAAATCACATTATTTCGTTGAGCTAGATTAATATCTAGATCGTAGAGACGAACATGGTCGTAGCATTGTCTGATGATATGCTTATACTGCCTGTTCCAGCCCACGTCCAAGGGTTGAATCATGGACGTTGTACTTTTCGGTAGTTCAAGTCGGACTAAATTCTTCAATTTTTTATACAATTGAACACCTCTCTGGACTCCTCAAAAATCCGAAAGAAGCAAACTTTTCTTATCTTTCAGCGCCGGACCAAGGACAAAGTATACCCAGAACCAAACTTGTTGTCAATTTTCCACTTTTAGAACACGTTATCACAACATTATCAGCCTGAAATAAATTATTTTTAATCCCTTCGCTCATATGACCGAAAGCCTCTTTCAGACAAAGATAGAGAGGTCCAATACACTGTCCAGACATTGAAATAATCGGTTGGACTGTGTATGAATGCGAAACATTGAACTGGGATTTCACTTTTGCAACGGTTATTTTCTCTCCGACAAAAGAGAGCATGCGATTCGTGTACATCTCCAATTGTAGCCCAGACTGATCTGTATTAATTATGTGGTCTTGCTTATAGCCTTGAGATAGTTTTTTCACTTTTCTGACAAACTCGTCCGCAGGCTCTTTGATCTTTTCTTCATTTTTTGCTTCACGTTTTGTGACTAACTTTGTCACATGCCTCGAACAAATTCCATGACGACGTTTGAAGTTGTGAAGCCAGTGACCACTCGCAAGAAAGTTTTCTTCGTTGAGCTCCCGTGCTTTTTTCAGAGCCTGACGTTTTAAATCGATATCATGGATGATAAGCAGGTCTTCGCGTGCTTTTTGGAAAAAATTATAGACGAATTCGTCAATTTCCTCCAGTTTTTGTTTCTTGGTTCCACTAGACTCTAGGTACTTCCTAAAACGTGCTATGTACTTTCTGTTCATAACCTTCCGAAACTTCTGGTGAAAGTTTTGCCATGAATGTTTTGTTTTTCCAGTGACTGAATCTTTCTCGTCATAAAACTGGACGGCCCGCTGCAAGTACTTAAGCGAGAACTCGTGCATCAAACTTTTGTCACCATCTTCCACGTTTTCTTCTTCATACTCATCACTTTGCTCGTCCCGATTTCACCTCGTCCTCTACACTTTGCTGGTCAAAGTCAGAACTGAAATCCAGAGTTTTTTCTGTTTCAAAACTGTAATCTGTACAGTTTAGTATCGACTCCATACTGTGAAACAAATTGTTCGCTACATCTTCATCTTTACGTTTATAAGAATACGTTAAGGTTTCAGAAGGAAGTTTCTTGAGAATTAAATTAGACAGAAGTCGAGTTACGTTATGTGGACTTATCATCGTTAAGTTGCTGTTATTTTTTAGTGAAAGTTGGTATCAAATGAGACAGTCACAACAGTGAGGAAGGCTCTATTTTTTTTTTCTCGCTTTCGCCTTATTCTTTCACTAATCACTATTTTGTATGGAAGCATGTGCTAGAGAATTTACATTCTAGAAGTGACGAGAACAACAACGACAGCCATCTTTAATTTATGTAAGCAATAACAGCTGATAACTGATCAGGAAAAAGAGTCTGAAGAAGCAACGGGCGTAAGACTGTATTTTTACAGCTTACGATAAAGAAAAATCTACAGATGTTGAATGAAGCAGCGTAGAGGTCTGAAACTTTGGGTATACTTCCTAAATAGATAGACCTATGTTGTACGAAAGTTTCAAGAGATTTCGTGGTTATTTGATGGAGTTACGAATTTTTCATTTTTTCGCGTTTTCCGCTAGGAAACTCAGAAAAATGCCTATAACTTTCGAAGAAAGCTAAAGGGGCACTAATCCTTTTAGGTTTTTTATGTTCCAAACTTAAAGTAGGACCAAATTTCTTTTTGCGCAATTGCGTCGAATAATTGTTTAGTTGATTATAAGTAATCTCAAAATTTCTCTCTTGCAATAATTCATATATTGTCTTCGGCTTTAGTCTTATAGTGAGAGAGACTCGGTGTGCATGTGTGCTGATATGATACAGGAAACGTGTGGAAGAGGAGCAGAATGAAAGTGTACATTTAAGTTGTGTGAGTCGAGAATGTATAAAAAAGAAGACGAACAGAATAAAAGACAGAAAGAACAAGAAAAGACAGTCAAGTAGATACAAACAGATTCTCAAGCGTCAAACAAAATCTATTATCGCCCGATTCATCTAGATGACTACATTTTTATTCGATTGCAACTATTTCGTAACGACAGTGGAAATCTAGTAATCGGACGATTGCTAGATTTCTTCTAGTTGCAACTATCGATTTATCGCCCGATAATCGATCGATTTAACTATTGCTAGTTATACATGCAGACGCATCTAGTTAAAAGTCTCTTTTCCAACTAGTACTAGATGACAACTAGTCGTGTATCGCCCGATTACAGACGAAATGTATCTAGATTTTTCCCATAGGGGATGTTTGCTTGGGCTGAGTTAGTGTATTTATTATATGTTAAAACGGTTTGTATCACAAATTTACTTTATGACAGCTCTATATTTTTACGTATTTTTCAATATCAGCGATATTTTTTAAGAGGATGATATCTATATTGATGCCTGTATCGGGATCACATTCAATTATTAGGTCAAATAATTTTCATTCAGCTATGGTGTAACTGGGACAGTAGAGAAAGAAGTGTTCAACGGTCATTTTGGAAACAAGAACAGTATTAAGAAGATGGATTTTGTATAATGTTTTGATAAAAAAGTTCATATCCAAAGTCAACAAACTAGAAAACATTTGATGATAAGAGATATCAGCACGTCTATCAACGTTTCTTACTATTGTTGTTTTAACTGATAAGACGTTTAATACATTCCATTCTTTCTTAAACACTTTAGATGTCGGATGAGTCCTTAGTTTAATATCTAACTTATCCCAGGCTCGTATGACTGATGGAAAAAATAATAAGTTGTAATTATTTGTCTGTTTTGCTAATATCCTCTTACTGGAAGTAATAACAGAACCTTAGAGTTTGATAATACTTTTTTCGTTGAAGAAATTACTTTCAGTGATAGCAAACAAACAAATAATAACTTTGAACGAAAGTTATTCTGTTACTAAGAAAGGTGGTTCTTTTCATAACAATTTTATGTATTAGTTTCAGTTTATGTCTATCAAATGCATCGTGCTATGGTAGTCAACCTAAAATATTCAATGCTTTCTCTTTACCCGTAAAGTGTCATTAACTATTTTAGCTGCATCATACGGAATATGTCAATAGTTCTCAATGTTTCTTGCGCCATGCGGGTATATAGTTTTCGAGTATTGAGCAAGATAGAGCAAACAATTCTCTTCAAAATGAGGCGTCTCACAGTTCCGTATAATATTTCTTCAAGGAGTTATGATTTTTACAAGAAAAGTACTGTTTCACAGCGTTACCGTTCTGTTCAAAACACTAGAAAAGGACCTGTTTTTGTAAAAATCATAACTCTTTGAAGAAATAATTATCTACAGCTCTATTTCTCATACCATAATACACTGATAGTCACAATGCTCATTTATTACCATCGAATTATAAACAAAAAACTGGCATTGCAACCCTAATCAAGTTAAGAAATACGTCTAGGTTTACCCCTCTTGGTGTTTTTTCAAACGGCACCATTTCCTATAGAGACATCTTAACCCTTTACCCCTGGAAGGTATTTTTTTGAAGATCCATGAAAGGCGACTACTGAAGTGCAGCTCTTGAGTGCTCACTTTGTCCACTCGATACGCAAAATAAAATGGAGTTGCCTAGTTGACAGAATATAGAATGTCCATCGGGGTGGACATCAGAAGGGACATGAAAAGTACTGATTGTTTTGTTTTACATTTTTTGTAAGCTGCCAGTAATTCAAAGTTGTAGCACTTTTTATTTTTCGCTTACAGGCACGTCATTAGATGCAGTTTTATCTGGTGATCACGAATCTGACCTTATTTTTTTGATTTGAGCGAGTTTTCCTGGAGAAAAATGCAAAATGCTGGCGAACTCCTCAAAAACGCTCAAAACTGACTTTTGAGAAAATCGCTCTAATCTTCTCACAATTTTACTTTCCGATCTCACCAATGTGATTTTCAGTTTCCTCGACTCAAACTGAGTCTAGACATGTGGTCTAGAGCTTGATCGCGCATATCGTATAGGCTGTGGAAATTTAAAAATCGGTCGTCCTCCGTTGGTGCGACCTAATGTTGCAACCCATTGTCAAGCCAAAGCTACAGAAATAAGAAGAAATTAATTTAGGGCTTTTCTTAATTTAGGGCTTGAATTACTGGCAGCTTACAAAAAATGTAAAACAAAAGAATCAGTACTTTTCATGTCACTTCCCCTGATGTCCACCCCGTGGACATTCCATTACTGGACACGGTGCACCAAGGCAGCTTGACAGAAAATTCATTTTCTTGTGTTATTATAGAATAGATCCTTATAACAATAGTTATCAACCACCACATCTGAAAACCCTTCTATAACCCTTCTATAACCCTTCTATGGCTAAATCTATGGAAAAAGTTTTTAAAAAATTCGAAAATTTGAAATCTTCTTTAATTTCAAAAGCTAATTATCTCAGTCAAGATCCATAGAAAAAAAAATTTCTTTTTTTACCAATCGAGTGCTTATGAAGTCCCTAAGGTTGGAACGAAATCTGGTTCCGATATGACGCTTCGTTATTTTTGTATATCGATTTTATCAATGTCCACTGGGATGAACATCCGGGGTAAAGGGTTAAAAGCGTTTTTCCTGAAAGCTTTCCGTTGTACTATTCATAAGGGTATTTCGTAAAAACCTTAGTTCTTTAACGTTTACATTCATAGAGAAACGCGCCTTGGAACTGGAAAAGAAAACCACCTTACACTGGGTCTCTTTATCCAGTAAAAATCATTTGAAGTTTTTAAAGAATCTAGTATTGATCAGAATTTCATGGCCCTTCTTTTGAGACGGGTATCGAAGTTTGCGATAAAAGACGTGTATAAAGTGATCCAAACTCAATGTAATTACCTATTATTATTGTGAAATCGTACCTAATGAGCTTACCACATTCGCCGATAGAGGAAAGTATAATCAATGAATCAGTTTAGTAGTAAAGAAGTGATTTTCTTGTTGCTTGTTGTGTAACAGGCTAAAGAACTGACGGAAGTGATACAAGGACAAGAAAAAACAGAAATGAGGTTTATATACGTGTTACTGCGAGCAGTATCCACAGACTTTCTTTTCCTGTTCTTCCTGGTTTTTTCCACCTTGGGTGGTTTTTTTCACCTTGTGTTGGTTTGCCACCTTCTCGATTAAAAAACTTGGAATGAGAAAAGAAAAAGAATGGTGAGAAGAAATATTGATAACCTGAAATTATATTTACTATAACATATTGTTTATATAAATTTTTATTAAATGTAGCAAGTGTATGAAAAATAAACAATGGTGTCCAACAAATAAAAAAATTTTCAAGAATAATGGCAATTAAAATTTTTAATGCTTAATACGACGATTTTTATCTAAACGATATACATTTGCTGATGATGAACGACGAAATGTATTAAGAAAACGATGAAATTTTGATGATGATTTTTTTAAATGTTGTTGAAAATGATGAGAATGATGATGAGGATCGTTACTATCTTTTGAATTTGATCGAAAAACAGGTTGTGATGCCATACATGTTCGATGAAAATATTGTGGATATCTTTTTTTAAGTGTTGATTGTGACATTCTCATATCATTCATGTTAGAATTTTTTGGCCATAATAATGAAACAAAAACGTTATTGTTATACAATTAATATTATTGTTATAAAATGTTTCATCATCGGATCGTGAATTATTGGAATGAATACTCATTTTTGATGATAAACGACAAAAATCAGTATTTGTATTATAAAAGGCCGCTGTAGATTTTGTACTGTTGGCAAATGGAAGACTCTCATAACTATACGTTTGAGTATTGACTGGATCAACGTCACCATTGGAATTGGAATAGAATAGTGGACTGACTTGTGGTGGAGAAGAACTACTAGAAGGATGTTTACTTTGATAACTACTTAATATAAAATAATAAAATATACAAAAAAACTTTTAAAAAGTTTATTAAAAAATAAAATAACATGAATGACGATATCAACAATATACCAGAAATAGTAATAAAATAGTCTATTTACCTTGAAATGATCTCATTTTCACTGCTGTACTATTTCTATACATCTTCAAGCCAATTAGAGTGTATAGTACTAACATTACAATCATTGGAATCAAAAAGTAAAGGACTAAAATCAATCAAATACAAAAGTAAAATCAAATTAATACACCACATTTATATCTAAGACTTACTTAATAGTGGCAACATATGCTGATTCATAAATTGTGGTATTACATGCTGATTCATTAAATTGTGGTAGTGGTGCGTACAACATATTCTACTGTGAAAAAAATACACATGTAGATAATTTTAAAAAGTTCCGCCGTCATCTAGAATGAGAAAAAACTGAAATAAATAGTTTAGACTTTCTCACGTTCTGCAAACTCACAACTAGAATGACAGTCTGCCTACAGTTCATTTTGTTTTTCATGAGAAAGCTACGAATCAACATTAATCTTCTCTTTCCAAAAGAAGTCGCATAAGAACACCACTGGATCGTTCGCTCGCAGTCTCTTTCTTTTTGACTTAACAGAAAATGACGATTTTTTCCAATTTTCTTCAGATAAACAATAAGAAAGATGGCAGAGAGTGAGAAAGCTAGACAGAGACCCTGATGTCTCTACGACTTCCTTCTTTCTGATTTTTGAAGATCTGTTTTCCATTTAAATTGAAATTTATTCAGCAAAACTATTGCACATGCATTTTTCAATGTGGTTAAATTCCAAAAAACCAGACAAATTTTCTAGAGATATAAAATACTATAGAAAGACATTGTGTTCGAAAAAAAATTTAAGGCAAACGAAACGTGCAACCTTAACATCACAAAAATAACACTCATTTCTACAACTCAGACTAACAACAATAGAAACAGTGAATAAAAAAAACAGCTTGCGAAATATACACCGAGGATCTTTGAAAAATAACAAATAACATACAAGATAAAGTTAAAGTAAAGACAAATCAACATAAAGTTTAAATCATAATCTACGGAAAATCGCACATTGATTCAGATTCACTAAATTTTAAGGCAGCCAACTGCTGTTCGTACAAATAAACTATAAACGGTTGTAAATTATCGTCAACAACAGCAGCTTGAACAGCTTCTATGTATCTGTCTCTATCATTTAAAGTCACTAACAATGGCAAATATTCTTTACTAATTAGATAATTACTCACAACTACTCTCGTTGTACGTCCATTTCCATCAGAGAATGGATGTATTTTAATGAGTTCTTTATGAATCAAAGCAGCTAATGCAAACGGTGGTGTACGATCTGCTTTTGAGTATCGGTTAACTAGAACAGAGTAAGAACATGATCTTTGACTAAGCAATAAAAGAGAAAACCAAGTGCTCGTCATACAAACCATGTTCTATTAAAATATTCAATTGATTGCGCAAGGATTTTGGATATGCTGTATCTTAGCTTCAGAGCATGGGACCCAGATGTAACTTGTGGAGGATGATATTGGACCCAAATGATGAGTTTATATCAAAAAAATTTTGAGATCGGAGTTTGCGAAAAAAAAAAAATTTTTTTATTGCTACCCCATCAATTTTTTTGCTTTTAGTAGTATCCAATTTCTTAGAATTTAATCGTAATCTACATTGGATTTCATCGACAGAATTCAAATTTCGTCGAAAAATATGCATCCGTTCACGAGTTATAACATTTTGAATTTTTG